AACCATTTCCACTCCATGTATTATATAACTGATAGTCATTAGACAGTCACAGATGCCATCCAGGCTCACGGGTTTTAAAAAATCACTTAACTAACCCATTGGAGCATTCAGCAAGACCATTAGCCTGGGGATATTATGGAATGCAAAATACCCACTGGGTTCCTTCCTCTTTGGACCAATCTTGAAATACCATGGCTGTGAAATGTAAGCCTTTGCCACTCTGAATTTCCCCTGGTAGGGGAACTGTGCTGAACCATGCTTTCATAATTCCATTGATACCCCCCAGAGAGGTAAACCACTGTAGGTTTCTGAGCAGTGCCTGCAGGTGACCCTGTACCCTTATGAACTACATCTAGGAGGTGGGAAGGTCCCCTCATAATCACACTCCATCCTCTTTTTATCTGTTCCACCTTTTTCACCACTTGCACCAGGGACAGCAAACCCTTTTCAAGATCAGAGTGCCTCATTTTAGTACCATTGAAAGAGTGGGAGCCTAACTCCAGTGGTGTCTCCAGCTCTTCTGGCCCCTTTTGCCTCAGATTTCCTGGAGAGCCATGCTCACTGAATCCCCATTCTGTGTGAATAAGGTCGGTTGGATGTAGGGGACTGAGCTGTTGGAACAACCTCAGTTCTTTTATTAACAATTCTAATGCATTCTCGTGCTGTTCACAGAATCACAGAATATGCCAAGTTCGAAGGAAAACAAGGATCATTGTGTCCAATCCTTAGCCCTGCACAGTACCATCCCCAAGAGTGTGCCTGAGAGTATCTTCTTGTACTCTGTTGGGCTTGGTACTGTGACCACTTCCCTGGGGAGCCTCTTCCAGCACCCAACCACCCTCTGGGTGAAGAAGCTTTTTCTAATATCCAACCTAAACCTCTCCTGACACAACTTCAGCCCATTTCCTCGGGTCCTGTCATTGGTCACCACAGAGAAGAGATCAATGCCTGCCCCTCCTCTTCTTCTGACAAGGAAGTTGTAACTGCAATGAGGTCTCCCCTCAGTCTCCTTTTCTCCAGGCTAACAGAACAAGTGACCTCAGGTGCTCCTCCTATGGTTTCCACTCAAGGCCCTTCACCATCTTCATTGCCCTCCTTTGGGCACTCTCTCATAGCTTAATATCTTTCTTATATTGCAGTGGCCAAAACTGCACACCATATTCCAAGTGAGGCCCCAGTGCAGAGCAGAGTGGGACAATCACCTCCCTTGGCCAGCTGGTGATGCTTTGCCTGATGCCCCCCCGGACATGGTTGGCCCTCCTGGCTGCCAGGACACTGCTGACTCATGTCCAACTTGCTGTCAACCAGGACCCCCAGGTCCCTTTCCACAGCCTCTCGTTCCACAGTCTGTATGTACATCTGGGGTTGCCCCATCCCAAGTGAAAAATCTGGCACTTGCTGTAGTTGAACTTCATATGGTTGGTAATTACACATTTGCCCAGGTCTCTCTGCAGGGCCTCCCTGCCTTCAAGGGAGTCAACAGCTCCTCCCAGTTTTGTGTCATCTGCAGACTTGCATAGTGCTCCTTCCAGTCCTGCATCCAAGTAATTTATGAAGATGTTGAGGAGCACAGGGCCCAAGAGGGATCCCTGTGGAACCCCACTAGTGACAGATCACCAGTCTGATGTCACCCCAGTCACTATTACTCTCTGTGCTCGGCCCATGAGCCAATTGCTCACCCACCACATGATGTGTTTATCCAGCTGTGGGCTGGACATTTTGTCCAGAAGGATCCTGTGAGAGACAGGATCAAAAGCTTTACTGAAATCCGAAAAGATTCTGTCCGCTGGCTTCAACTAGGTGGGTTACCTTGTCATGGAAGGAAATCAGGTTTGATAAGCAGAACTTTCCTCTCATGAGGCTGTGCTGGCTGTGACCAGTGACTGCATTGTCTTTCAGGTGTTTTTTCTTCTCCATAACTTTACGAGGCACTGAAGTGAGACTGACAGGTCTGTAGTTTCCTTCTCGTCCTTCTTGAAAATTAGTACAATGTCTGCCAGCTTCCAGTCATCAGAGACCTCCAGAGATTCCTTATACATTTTTTATTCTACAATTTTAAGATACAGACTAAGCCTCTCCACTCCCGCTCTTCTGACATCTTCCCTCAGTTCTCCCCATCAGAAGAGCATAGCAGAAAAGTTCTTCTCTGGCCTTTAGGGAATAGTCCTAGAGCAGTTGAGTGTGCTTTACTGCAAAAGACACATAATAACTCTGAAGACAGGGACCAAGTGTCTCTAGTGAGGTGTTCAAACTGAGAACACCTTGTTCAGCAGAGTGACCGCTTGCAGCAGGCTGCTGATCACGTTAACTTAACAGTGAAGACAGTGTCAGACTTTGATGCCATAGGACAGTCTCCCTTCTTAACAGCTTCAAGTGATGATAGTAGTGAAGATAAGAAAGTGTGTGTTACAATAATACTTGACCCAAGAGCTGGTTCAACAAAGTTTCTTTTAGTTGGATATTTATGCTCTTTGGACTTTCTCCATGGTGCATTTAGAGTGGCAAAGCAGTCACTGTCTCAGGCTCCCTTAAGGAATTCCTTCTGGCAATTTTGGGGTACTGCATGCAACAGGTGAAGCAGTCCAAGTCTCCCAAAGGTAGGTAGAAGCCAAGCAGTCACTATTGTGCTTAGGGTGCAGTGTCCATGCAGGGAAAATAGAAAATACAAGGAGAAATTGAAATGACAGATAGAAAGGCAGTCCATTTGCTAAATACTGCAAGGAATTTGTAGAAGTGGAAGTACATGGAGGTTAGAAAGGTATCTACAGCAAAGTAATAGCAAAGGGACGCCAGAGAACAAGAAATAAAGAGCCATTATTTTTTCTTACAGCAACATCCTGCTGTCCAGCTCCATGTCATATTTTATTGCTTAATGCAATCTCATCTCAGAAAAGCTTCTAATGTCTTGCAAGGGAAAGAGCTACTGAGGAAAGAAGGGCTGCTGGAGACAGAGCTGGTGGTGGGACAAGACTGCAGGGCACAGAAACCATATCTCTGGCCAATATAGGATGTGCATTGCAGGACTGCATTCCGTTCACCTTGACCACAAAGCAGATGAGATGACACAAGCTAAGGGCTGGGAGGAGATTTGCAAGTCTAGGTAGGAGCATATTTCAATATGAAGAGAGAAAGCAGCAATCATCCATCTGCCTCATCAAAACAGCATCTAGAAAATGGGATGACAAAGAGCAGCAGAGGAAGTGTTGTTGGGGTTGTGAAACTCATTCCAGTGGGAGGCTTAGCACAAGGCAAGGTCAGGTCAGGTCCCAGTCCCACTGGGGGAGTATGTCTGTTTGTTCAGGATCTATTTCTTGGGAAAATCACACCCAGCCAATAGACAGAATCCAATCTTAGGCTATTTAATGGGCTAATTTCCAAGAAATGGCTGAGGGAAGAAGCCAAGTGGGTAATTTCCTTTGCAAAGGGTGGTAAGTGCCTCTTACCAGTCCAAGTTCCACATCTGTCACCCTGGTACAAAAGGTAGAGTAGTCAGTGAAAGGCCAAATTAGGCTAATTAGGCTTCAGCTTTAATGAAAGAAGAGAAGCAGTTTTGGACTCCAGAGATATTGCCAAAATCAGCCTGTACTTTAATTTATAAGATATAAAAAGAAATATTAACTGGATAACAACTTAACACTGTGCAGAACATCTATTTGAAATGTTCCTGTTGCGCATGAGCATAAAAATGTCACATTTTTCAGGCATAATAGTAGGGAGTTTCTCAGCACAGAATAACATGCAGATTTTCAGCACAATTTAAATGTGCCATTGGACTGAAAAGCCACAGGGGGCATTGTCTTCCCCCTGGAGACAAAAAGATCTGTTCCCATAGCCAGGTGAACGTGGGAGCTGTTGGCAGCTCTGAAGTTCACATAGTTAAGTGGGTCCTTGTTTAGGCTTCTGTATCCTAAATATCCTCTGACGCTGTCAAATGCCACTTGAAAACACAGATGTTTGGAGTCCTTCTGTTCGTGATTAAATCTTTTCAAGGGTAACATGTAATGCATTATTGACTAGTCGAGTTTATGGAGAGCTTACAGTTTTCCAGCCCTAATAGAAGCATAATGTAAATTATTTTTTTAAATCCATTCTGCGGAGTGGTGCCGATGTGATTTTCATTTACAACCAATTGTTAATTAGGCCAAGCTTCAGTAAGCATTTCCTATTTATTTTGTCCTTTGGTTCTGTTTAGTCAAGCGTGTGCATGTGTGTGTGAGCTGCTGTTTTTCTGTAGTATCATTTGCAGTCACTTCACAGCCTGTTCCTGGCACCTTACAGGCAGTCTCTCTGCCATGGACTGGACAAACACTGCCCCCACCACCTGTCCTGTCCACCCTTCGCTTCTCATGGCTGGACACGCCAGAGTCTGATAATGACACTTTATGTGCCAGCTTTCTTGACTCGCTGATGATTTTAGTGAGCACAGAAGCCTGTAGAAGACAGAAGGAAGAGTTGCTGGAAGGATGTAGGAGCAGAAGGGGGGATGGATAGTGCAGTGGAACACAAGGGTTACTGCCCCAGGGACGATGGTGGATGGCAGTGGAAAGCGATAAGGAAATTTTTCTAGCCCAGAGGTGCCTCTTGAGTTCACTATGGCCTTGGGCATAAAAGAGAGTTGCTGAGTGTTCCAGTGAAGAAGAATATGTAAATATGTAAATACTGAAATAAATGTAGAAATATCGAAGAAGATTGGGAAATGTAAAAAAATCCTGAGAATTGCTTGAAAACAGTTCTTTTGGGTCCAGGTTAAAGACCACTAACAAATGGCCTTCTCTGGCACATTTTTTTGCCCTCATTGGTAAGTATCTGTGAATCTCTGCTTTTTAAGGTTTGTAGGAATGAAATGATGGAGTGACCACTGCTCAGGCATGTATTTTGGAAGAATGATGGACTGGATACTTTCCACAGATTCTTCCCATTGCTGTTTATCCTGATGTCTTCTGTGTCAATGCTGTGTCTGAATACTAACTAACTCTTTTGTCACCTCTGTCTTCTTGCAGGCATATATGCTGAAGTCGTTTGAAATGAATGGCCTGCCCAAGGTGGTCCCTTTAAGTTTGCCTTATCAAGACTTCAGAAAAGATATGTCAGACTACTGGGAAAAGCCTAAGGTATCCCAGCGGATAAAGAAAGTTGATTTTTCAAATATTGTCTTGACTGCTCCTTGCAAACCTCTGGAACCTTACCTGGAAATAAATGGAAAAGAGGAGGAGGAAGAAGATGAGGAAGACTACGAGGAGGAGGAGGAGGAGGAAGATGAAGGGGAGGAGGGAAGCAATGAGATTGACATGCACAGTGGTTCCAGCAGTGACCTGAGTCAGAAAAGCACAGAGCACAGCCAGGAGTGTGCACCATCCACACTCCTGGCTGATGACCAGAAGGGATCGAAGGGTCGAGCATCCACTGCTGATGGGGACGTGGAGCTGGAGGAAGGCTCAAAAACACTAGTGCTGTTTTCACCAGGTGATCTGAAAAAGTCTCCTGTGGCCACAGACTTAGCTCCAGAGGTTGATCTGGGCACTCTTGCTGCACTGACGCCTCAGAGCGAGCGGCCTCAGCCTATGGGTAGCCAACTGGATGTGTCTGAGCCAGGGACCCTGTCCTCAGTCCTTAAATCTGAACCAAAGCCTCCCGTGGCAGTGGCTACAGCTTCCTCCCCCTTTACCAAAGTTGAGCGCACATTCGTTCACATTGCTGAAAAGACCCACCTAAACGTCATGTCTTCCAGCAGCCAGCTGATGCGGCACGAGGAGTACTGCCCGCCGGGACAGTTTGAGGAAGTAATTATTGAAGAAGAGCTGGAGGACAACCTGGTGCTGGTAGAGAACGGAAGCATACATTCGGGGCTGGAAGGGGCAGAGACTGAGAGCTGCGCACTTTCAGCTAATCCCATCGAAACCACCTCAGAGACTGTGGGGGAGCAGCTGGCCCTTCCCAATGGCATAGCAAAGCCTCCTGAGGACAAGCAGAAGCTCTCCAGCAAAGCGGTGCTCTCACTGGATTTGGAAGAGCCTGGCAAGGTGGTTACAAGGGAGACTGGCCTTGAGAAGTCAGCATCAGCGGCAGGACACCTCAAGCGAGAAGAGACCCTCCGTGACACACCACAGCAGGGCCCCAGGAGACTGCTGGGCTCCAGGTATAGAAGTCGGATACCCGTTTTGTTCTCCGAGGAGGACACCGGCTCAGATCTTTCGACTTCACTCTCAGCCAAAGAAAGGCTTTATAAGAGGGCAAAGCAACCTGACTTGGCCCGCCTGGTGATGGAGAAGAGACAGAACCGCCTCATCCGGCTGGCCTCTGGGGCCTCCTCCTCAGCCTCCTCCAGCGACGAGAGGCGGAGAGCCTCAGAAACCCTGTCAGCCACGGGGTCTGAGGAGGACACCCATGACTCTGATGATTCCATCCCAAGGAAGGGAGGGAAGAAGTCTGCGCTCCTGGGGAAAGAAGAGAGATCCATAAGCACAAAGAGCAGAATTCCTCGTCCCATCACGCCAGTGAAGACACCACTGGAGGCAGCAAGGTCGGAGATCTCCGTGGCTGTGGCAATTGCAGGGCTGTGCAACTCCCCACAGGATGCAGCCGCTGTCTGCAGGTAAGACCAAAACGGTGAGAAATGCAAAGTGTTGGGCTTTTTGAGGAGACACAGCCGTGGTTCCGCTCACCTCCCATGACTTCACCCTTCACTCAGCTTGAATACATGGTCCATCCTTGTTTCCTAATGTCATTTTAGCTCAGCAGTGTGTGAAATTTTCACCTGTCCTTTTTTCTTTGAAGCCTCTTGTCACTTGCCCTGGCTTTCCTTCCACAAGCTCTTTCACTTGACCTGATCCTGCTAATAGCAGATGCCTCCAGTGTTGAGCTCTAACTTCTGCAGCATGCTAAGCCATGAATCTGCAAGGATCTGGCCTGGCTATTGCTATTAGAGGTGGCAAGGGTGACAAGGCTGCCAGTTGTGATTACCTCAGTTGGTTTATCTTACATCACAGTTACCGTCAGAAGCCAACTGGTGCAATCCGTTGCCCACAATCCCAGGTTGTATCTCCTGACTTGGAAGAGGTTGCTGCATCCAGCAGAAGAGTCCCAGATACATACTGTCAGTCAAGCCATGCCTGTGTGTTGATCCAGAGGGTGCTGGAGGATCAGGGCAAACACTTACAAGTTAACTGCATCGAGAGTTACAGGATGGTGTTCAAATCAGGGCTCCATCTGGTACGTGGCTAGTTCCTGTCGTCCTAGTGCTGGAGACTCCTTGTACTTGCCCAGCAAGATTCAATGTCAATCCTACTAGGACCCCAGTGCCCCTTGCCGAAACTCCCCTTCATCTTCCCTCTTTTCTTCCCATGCAGGCTTCAGACACAGAGACCAGCTGGAAGCGTCCCAAGCGAGTGCCGAACAACGCAGGTACAAAGCCGGATTCCTTCTTCACCAAGTTCTACTTCTCTTCCTCCACGGAGCAGCTCACGGAGGTCCAGCGGTGCATCCCCTCGGAGCCCTGTCCTTCCTTCAAGGAACCCCAGTACTTCCCCCAGAAGCCAGCTGCCATCCCGGAGGGAAAGTCCTTCTCCCTGCCGACAGCATAAGCCAGGGACTGCTCCTCAGCGAGTTCCTCCTTCCCCCCGACCTCAGCCCTCAGCTCAGGCTCAGGGGCCAACAGGAGATTCCCTGCCATCTCCTGGCACGGCCAAAAAACGACAAAGAGGAAAAACCCAGACTCAGAGTCCAGCAACCAAAGGAAAGCAGGTGTCCCTGGAAAGTAAGGCAGCTGCCAGATAATGATCTTCTTCTGCGAGCCCAACACGCTGGGTAACTTCTGCATATAGTATACACTTGAGATGCTGCAGCACAGCCTTCCATGCTGGACCCACGAGTGTATAGCGGTAGCTGTACTTCAATGCTTCACTCACACTCTCACCCCACACCGCAATCAGCTCCCACGGGCCTGACAGCCTCTGAGCCACGGAGCCTTCTTCGAGGGAGACATCCAGCCCGCAGCTCACGCTTGCTAGTGCACAGCACCAAACAGTGACCCCAGGCAGCCTGCCCAGTGCCTGGCCCTCCTCCCTCCCCAGGGATTCCCCTCTCTCTGTTAGCAATACCAGTCTCCAACACCGCCCCCAGCTGTGGAAAGAGGAGCAGAGGAGATGAGAGCAAGGCCTGCTAAAGAGGAAGGCTCCTGTCCTTCAGGCAGCTCCCTCCTTTCTCCCTGCTGGGAAAACACCAGCCTTGGCTGCTGCCATCTGCCTGAATGTTGGCTCACCTCCTGCCACCTCTGTTAGCAGGGGATTGCCACCAGCTTAGCCAAGAGGGAGGGATGTGTCCTTGTGTGCTGAGAGAAGCAGCAAGGTGGAGGGGGCTCTTCTTTCCAGAGATCCCTCTACAGGTGGGCATTGGGAGACAGGCAGTTCTTGCTGGATGCTCCTGCCTGCTCCAGTATGTCCCATAGGATGCCGTCTGGCACTGCTGCTCAGCTGACACTGCTGCTGTTTCAGCAGACACCTGTGTGGTGGGCACTCAGGTGCAAGTAGGAGTGTATTGGCAGTTTGCTGGGAAATCAAGAGGTCTTGCTAATTAATGTAGAAGGGAGCACACTGCAGCCACTTCTGTCTCAAATACCAAACCGTGATCTGTGGACACCACATCTCCCAACAAGGGTGGTCCCTCTGGCCCTGAGTGTGGTTGGTGCCACAGACCTGTAGTGCACCAAACACAGCTCCAAAGTGAGGATGCGAATAGTCACTGGATGCCTTTAGCTTTGGTGCCCCTTGCACCTAAATTTCTTGTGTTTTATTGTCACGCTCTTGGTGTTTGTAAATTTTGGCACCGTAGTTGAAAGTTCCCTTACGTGGCAGGGTGGGAAATTATTGTCCTGTAGTATACCCAAAAGATGCTGCTTTGCGAGGAGAGGTTTGCTGGCACGCTGTGGATACCCTGTGCATTTCTATCTAAGAGTATGGTGGGTTGAGTGGCAGAGGTCAGGTTTCTGTCTTTTTCTTGGTGCTCAACTCTGCCACATGTTGCGTCAGAACTAACAGTGTGAACATAAAAGCAAGGACTGTGCTCTTCAGTTAGTATTTTCAGAGCAGAAGCTTAGTGCTCAGCTAGAACTAAATCATCCAACTTTTTGACCCCCAGACTAATTAGGAAGGCCTGAAAATAAAAGTGAGGAGGACCTGGCCGCATTCGAAGAGATCTTGAAGTAGACTAAATTTTCCCCACACCTCACAGGATAAAATAGTCCAAATCCAAATACTTTGGGCTTCACACCATTGTCGTGCCTAAAAGAGGCTTTGCATGAGGCAGAAGAGAAACACAACTGCTCTGTACACCTGTTCTTGCAGCTGTAACTACCTGCAAATATTTACTATTTGCAGACAACAAAGCTTGACGAAAGGAATCTGGACAGTAATAACCTTGATTCATTTGAACATGAATGCAAGCAGTCACACTAATGGCTATTGAGTCTAAGAAGTCCTGAAGTTGTTCATGTCTACAGGATATTCCAGGAACTGTCCTGGAAAGGAGCATAAGAGCTGTGATAGGGTATCTAGGAGAAAAGGGTGCTCCTTGGATGCCCAGGCAGGGAAATGTCTAGAAACAGGAGGCAGAAATTGCCTCTTTATATGGCAGTCTCAGTGTTGCCAATGCTAAGAATTTATTTCACCAAGTTCAAAGTGTTTTCCAATTATGTGGTTCACCCTAGTCAGGTAAACAGCCAAGTTTCCACTCTAAAAATATGCCCTCATCTTTGCAGAGCAGCACTGGGGACTCAGAGGGGCTCAGTTCATCAGTCAGGTTCACCATTTGGTCACAGAACAAGAGAAGGAGAGGACAGAGAGTGTGACCACTTCCAGTGGCACCATAATATCATGTGAGTTTCAAGTGTGGGTCAGAATAGAACCTAAATACATCCTGCAGGTTTAGAAACTAGAAAACAGAATAAACACAAACACAGATTCTTCCCAGAAACATAAATCATAGTGGGACTCCTATTAATTTATCGGAGGGCTATTAATTTTAATGTGTTCAGATGGTAAGACTTTGTCATGAAGCCTTTACCAGATCTCCATCCAGGTCTTAGATGCACATGCCAAAAATGACACCGTAAGAGCTTGGAAAGAGGACTGCAGGACTATTAACAGGGTTAGCAAACCTGCCTCATCATGGGAAGCCAATAAAGCACAATCAAAGTATTTGTTCAAGGGAAAGTTTAAAGGAGAGTTTTTGGTGGCCCACCTATACCAGTCAGGAAGAAAGCTCCAGGGCAGAGATAAGGCCAGGTTGGACAGGGACCTGAGTAGCCTGCTCTTGTGGAAGGTGCCTCTGCCTATGAGAGTGAGGTTGGAAGCAGTGATTTTACGGTCTTTTCCAACCCAAACCATTCTAGGGTTCTATGATCTTCCATCTGGCACATGAAAGAGGGAATAGCTGAGAACAGCAGAGGAAGAAATCAGGCAAGCTTTTAGTTGTGAAGCAATCCTCCAGTGACATCTTTTACAGGAATGTGGGGACTTTTTCTTACTAAAAGGTTTCTAAGAAACTGAGCTTTATTCTAAGAGGTCGTTCTACCATGACCCAGCCACAAGCAGCAGGCAAGACGCTGGTGACACCAAGGTAGCATCTCTTTGTGGTGCAGTAGACTCCTGGTCCTGGGCAAACTCTGTCAAGCCTCGAGGACACATGGGGCTTCTCAAATACTGCTGTTGGTGTGTGGCTGTGTTCTTGCTGCACTGCAGAGGAGAGAAGATTGAAAAGAAGACAGAGCTGACCAGAGCAGAGGAAATGTCTAGGAAGAATAAAACAAACATGTGTGGGGTCAGGGAAAGAGAAGCAGGTTTCCCAGAACTTTCCCCTATTTGTGGGGATTTGTAGGAACAGCCTCACAGTCCATGGTTCCCCGTCAGTGTGTTTGCCTCAGGGCTTGTCCTGGCCAGCTGCAGGTAATTGTGCCTGTGTGTTTTGAGGGAACTCCTGGGACAAGCCACCACTGTGCCTACATCTGTGTATGCGTTGGCATGGGCAGCAGGAACAGACAGGTCTGGTTCAGAGGAGCTTTATGGGGTCCTGTGTGTGTTGGGAGTGTAAGTGTCTTTGGGACTGCCTGGTGTCATGCTGAGTCCTCACTTTGCGGGAGTTTTATCTGCCAGCCGAGAGAAGGTGGCACGCTGGCTGGTAAAAAGAGTCAGTGGCTGCTGTCTGGTCAGGAGCTGATTGCAAAGAAACAGGGATACTGGGGGGATGTGCCAAGTGGCAAATCTGAGTTCTCAGCGCTAAGCCAGTGTGACAACCGATTATGTGAGCAGAAGAAGAAAAAGGACCAATGCCACCACTCAGACTAATACTGTGGAGAGGCTCAAGCACACGGATGGATGGAGCTGCTTAACTGATTTGTCTGGTTGGCAACATAAAAACGCTTCTGCTTGCCTTCGGGCAAAAGGGGTTTTGGTAACAGATGTCTCAGTTGTGCTTGGAATCTGTGAGAGGCAGGAGACTTTCTAAATAAAGAATATTATAATATATATGTTATTATAACAATATAATATAACTAGTGACCATTTATATATAGCGGCTAAAGGTTAAAAAGGATCCTGCTATTTTCAAAGAAGTCTTCTGGTACTGTGACTTCCAACGTGTGCGGGACTGACTGCTGAGTGCAGTGAATGTGGGTGGAGGAACAGGGTACCACCCTACCAAAGTGGGGGTGAGGCTCCACTTGCCTGAGCACGAACTAGGGCCAAAACCCCCCAGCTTGGGCGGTTGGCAGCTGTCATACGTGCCATGTGACCTGTACCAGCTCCCGGACTGACATACATCTCTGCGGGGCATGGATCAGGATCTGGAGTGTCACTGCTGCCCTTGACTAACACAAGCATTGAGAGTTGGATGGTGAAATGTTTCAACTGAATGCAAGCTGTATTGGTGCAAAAGAATCTTTCACGTTTCTCCTTTCCAACACAGAGGTGTTTTCTCAGTGTAGATCCTGCTCCAGCAGCAGCTCAAATGGTCCCTTAGTGCACCTCTTTCTTCTCTGTATAGTTTACTGACCCATGGCATGATCCCACCACTATTCTACATGTGTAGACACCGATACTCACCTAAGGCCTTGCCCTACACATCAATCACCTGCAGTTAAATTAATCTTGTGAACACGGTGAAAGTCCCATTGTGGACGTGAGGAGTCTGGTATCAAATGAGTTTCTTCTGGCTTAACTGAAACATGGCGGTGCTCCAGCAGTGCTGGGCTGGTTTGACAAAGCACCCAGGGAACCACCTGGGAGTTAGAACCTTTGGTTCTACTTGTTTTCCAGCTGCTCCTACAGCTCCACAAGAGGGAGAGAGCTTGGGCTCCTGTTCAGGCCCTTTCCTCTTTGGGTGCCTGCTTGTAACTGGGTTCGCTCTGTGCTGGCTCCCGAGGTCCTCTGCAGAACCCCGAATGGTTGTTGTGCTCTTTGTTAGCCTGTTGCTGCACTCCAAGGGGCTGGGACTGCACTGACAGCGACAGCAGAGCCAACTAACCTTAAGACTTCCCTGTGAGCTTTGGCGCTGGTATCTTTGCGAGGCCAGAGAATATCTATTGTTGCCAGCCTGAGGTGAGCTGTGATCTCGAGTACAGCCAAAATCCCACAAAATGACACCATCACTCTCCTGTCCCTTCATTCCTCTAGCAAATTTTGTCTTCAAAGTCATTGTATACTCCCTGAAGGTCAACCCTCTCTGCTTGGGGGATTGAAGCCCTCTTGGATTCTGCAGAGCTTGAGGCAGACTTGGCCACCAACCCATGCAGCATGCCCTGCACCATGCAGGCCAGTGCTCTTGGTCATAAGGAGGAACATCCCTTTCATTTCTGGAGCTGCAAATGTCTGGAAAGCAGGTTTAAATCCCTCTGTGCTGGAAGGAGGAAGGGGGCTACCAAAGCAAATGCAGAACTGGGTTCCTAGCAGGGACCGAGATAATAACTCCTCCTGCTCTTAGCTCCTAAACCAGAGAGGCCTGCAGGTGTGAGACCTCTGCTTTGGTGAGGGGACTGCTGGGCTGGTATCAGCGTGGGGCTTGTCAGTTGCTGCTCTGCCTCTGGCCTTGCTCATATTGCCCCTGCCCGGAGCACAAGAAGGTCTGACACGGGGTCACTGGAGGAGGCAGGGGCTAATATTTACTCAGCACGTGGGTAAATGAGGCCAAGCTGCACGGCGTGGGCTCTGGGACTATTGCCTGCAGAGGCAGGGGGTGGGGGGATGAGCTCTGCAGGACATGGAGGTTTAGTGGACGAGTCCAGGCTCAACGGTGCGTGTGAAAAACCGGTGTCAGCGACACTACCGTGCTCTGGGACCTGGGCTGCTTCTTCTCCAGACAGGAATTGGAGTTGCAAACACAGATAATTTTATATATCTCCTTTTAACACGATAGCATGTGATTCTACACTAGACATTGTATCTGGCGCACCGATGTTTTCCTTCGCCTCTGGCACACTCTGGAGACAGGACTTCTGCTCCTTGGTACTGCCTGCCTGGAAATGTGACTGGGTCCCAAGGCTAAATCTCTCTACATATCTTCATTGCATTCTTTAGGAAAGCAGCTGGAGAATGTTTACACTCTGCAAACAGAATGTAGGACTCCGACTGAGGAACCACAATCCGGTTCAACTGCATGGCAAATTTCTTGGCCATAAAATCTGGCATGCATCACAGAGGCCCTGTCTGTGTACAGATCCACCTGGCATTTGTCATAATTTCAGATCACATCTTAAAGAAAAATAAATGATGATGCCATTTCTTGTTCATACCAGACACAGTTGTCATTAGATTTGTTATTAAAAGGGGATTCTCGATCATGCCATTAAAAGCCTGTCTACCTTTTCATTGGTGTCTTCTCCCATTTATTGGTGTTGCCACATGTGAAGCAGAAATACCACCTGAATTGCTGCCAGGGGACCTTGTCTATAGTTGTGCTTGGCTTTCATTCCAGCTGTGTGGCAGCTCTGCCCCCTGTTCCTTCTCTGAAACCTCCTGCAGAGTTGTGCCCAGGTTGTCATAAAATCTCCTCACAAGGTATGTTCTTCTTTTCCTGTATCATGTCATCTCCACTGGCTGTGAGTAACCCCAAAACATGGGCTGGCAAGGACCAGAGCATTCCACTCTTTCTCTGTGGTCACTGATGCAGCTCCTACCTCATGCATGTAAACAGACCTGCAAGAGCTCTGAACGGTGTGATTTTCTAGCAGCCTTTCCCCGTGTCACAGTGGGAATAGTGGCTCTCTCTTCTCTTGGGGCTTGTGATTCATGCAAGCAGGCAAGGTCAGAGGAACAGCTTGGAGGAATGCACCAGAGGGGCCTGTTGCTATTCGTGCAAGACATGTTCCTGCAGCGTGAATCTTGTTCACAACCACGCGTCAGGCAGCAGGCTCAGCCATCCAGTTCCAAAACAGCACCTGTCAGAGAGCAAAGCCTGCTTTTTTAACAAAATCAAACTGAAATAAAAATTTAAAAAGTGGAATTTGTGGAGATGTTTGCAGGACCCACATCTAGCTGGTCCATGCAGTCCAACTGGGATCTGCCTGGGGGATCTGCACTGAATTCCAGAACTGGCCAGGGACAGTGTTTCACATGACTAGTCTCTTGCTCTTCCATTTTGTATGGTTTTCCCAGTTTGAGCACCACTGGGATCGTAACAATATCTCCCTGACCCTGTCTGTGCTGAGACCAACCAGCTGGGGCTGCAGTTGAAACTGCACATTAATATGCAGGAAGCGGAGCAGAAGCAAACCAGTAACTTGGCATGGTTTGACTTTTAATACTCTCTGACAATCTGACATGTCAGCTGAGGACAACAGCTCTTACAACAGTCCTTGAACTGTGTGCAATTTGCCTCATGTCTATTGTGTGCAGACCACACATGTAGTACAGTTTCTTACCTAGTTTTGGGAAGGGGTAGTTGAAGAGGGAACACAGAAGCTATGAAGGATTTGTTTTCATAAATTTTTAAGTTCAGACCCTTTCACCACTCAGGCACCTTTGTTTGGCGCAGTGCAGGCAGGGTGAGATACAGCTTACAAGCAGGCAGCTCTCCTTTGGGGCCTGGCACAGGCAGGACAGGGCTCAAACCCACTACTTGGCTAAAGATTCATAAACTCACAGCCACCTCGCAGGCACACAGCAGGTACACGATCTGCTGGCAGGTGGGTATCAGTGTCCATGGTTCCCTGAAACAGGCTCATTCTCTTGTTGCTCAGTTTCCATCTCATTTTCTCTGCTTCTTTTTTTTTTTTTTCTCCTGAGGATTTTGTCTGTGAATCTTCGTGCTCCTCAGTGTCATCATCTCAACAATGTTACCTTTGCCTGTGCAAAAAAAATTTCAGTTGTGAGTGAAATACCTATCTTAAACATTTGAGTTTATGGTTAAATACCTTAACTACCATCATGGTCTAACACACAATGTAAGTGCTTTTCCTGAGATTTCAGATTATAAAAAACCTGGAGGGTAAGAATATATATAATCTGTCCCAGTCAATGTGATTTTTTGGAAGTTGGCTTTGTTCGGTAAGTATGGTACCTTATTTTTTTTTTTTTTACATTGACCATAGCTAATCATTCACAACAATTGACTAAGCATCCAAAAAAACACTGATCCACAGTCATGCACTGAGCTGCAGAGTTCACAGGTGAGATCTGTCAAAATGGAAGTGGCTGATACCCTTTCACACTAAGGTAAGATCAGCACTCACATTTATGATGGACAAGAAAACGAGCTTTGGCCAGGACCAGTTTACTTGCAAAATAATTTTCATTTGTTTGTGCAGTCAAGTAAAATGCCTGCACACCAGGCTGCTGCAAGTGATGGAAAGCAGAGGAATCTGCTAATGGAGCACCAAGTCAGAATGGCATGAAGTCACTTTCTTCTAACCCAAAACAAAGATCTTCAGGAACCCCAGGACCTCTCTGTTGGCTGCACCTTTGCTTTCTCCAACTGAGCTACAGAATCTGGTGCACACACATCCTGCCAGGCTCATTTGGACACTGCTGCAGCACAGTGCACCTTAGACTGACACTGCAGGCATCCTCTGCTGACTTTGCCAGCTTTGTAGGATCTTCCTGTCTAAACTGCCTTGGTAAATAACAGAAAAAATAGAGACTCCCCGTGTGTGTCACATCATCTTCCTGCAGGGCCTGCACTCAGCTGCAGTTAGAAGGGGTCATTTCTGCCCTCTGACAGCAAATCTAGCTCAGTGGCTCTGATGGCCACATATGTTCATGGCATAACTTGGAGGGAAGGGAGGACTTTGGGATCTGCATCTTTCCTATAGGAGAAAATTATCATTTAAGGACCAATCTGCAAGAACTGATCAGATCTGCAGGTACTCTGCAGCAGTTGATACAGCTGTGGAGTGGCTCCAAATGCTTAAGGAGCAAATCAGCTCCTTCTCTCACCATCAAGGCTATTACAGCTCCATAGAAGGCGTTAGGAAATTACTGCTGAAAACAGAAAAGCTAAATTAGTCACCTAATAATTTAATAATCTACCCTCTCAATAAGTAGTTGGCATCCTGAAAAGGAGAAGAAAGAACTATTGCAAATGAATACAGACGTGAAGCAAAAAGTAAATTTCTTTTTCCAGCAATATACTCCAAAGCAGCAGCAGAAGAGTCTGCCCACTCTCTCTGCTGCCACGCACGTTCAAGCTGTTTGAGTCAGGTCCTGCATCTACTTAGCCAAGTGGCATAGTCAGTCACAGCATTTGCACACAGGTTGGTGATTAACTCAAGCTGGTGACTGGTTACATGAGCACATTTTGATTAGAGAAATAAAGGAATGTACATTTTTAAGCAGTTGCATTATGAACAGAAGAGCCCCAGGAGCTGCAGAGCAATGATCCATATCCTCGTTTCTGATGGAGAGGCCAGAGCTGCTTTGCAGTTTAAATACACAGCAGGATATCAATGAGAGCTTCTGTTCCTTGCTCTTAAAAGACCAGTGGTGAAGAAAAATAATTTTTCCTTTAGTTCAACTTCAGGTTAAATTGTAACCCTGGAGTCACTGTCAGGTGTCCCTGTTTCACTCCTGTGGTCTCCCTTCATGCTTGTCCCAGGGTGAGCATGAAAATGGTTCATAGCAGAGACTGGGGCAGGACATTATTTAAGCATGGGTGACCAGGAATGCTCCTGAGAAGAGGAAAGATCACCTAAGGCCACAGCATGGTGGCCTTTCCCTTGTGAGCATGACCATCCACAGCAGGAGCCCTAAGAAAAGCTTTTCTAGATCTCTTCATCTCTACTTACTGCTCTCCAGCCGCTTCTTCCCAGCCCTTTGCTGCAGGGCAGGGGCAGTGCAGACTGGCCCCTCTCGGCAGTGCCTGGCAGCCAGCACCACTTGCACTTTCCCTGTGCCAGTCTCTTGATGTGCCTGCATCCCAACACAAATGTCCCTGCTTTCCAGGTGGATGGCCAAACTGGAGCTGCTTTAAAGCAGAGCATGTCCCGGGGCTTGGAGAAAGGGTTAGCGGATGAGGGACAGTGCAGACTATGAGGAGAGAGGTACAGAGTGTGGAACTGCAGTGGGAGATAACCTATAGCAAGCTCTCAACAACACCACTGTTGCTGCTTCTTCACCTGCACCCTGCAAAGGGGTTGTAGCCTTTAGAGGGTTCTGCCCCTGCTTGCTGTATGATGCACTGCACCCTTAACCACCGTCTGGGATGGGTTATCCCCAGCAGCTGGCCCATGGGTCCACTGGGTGGGGTGAGGATGTTAAGGGACTTATTGGAAAGGGTCCTGCAGAGACCCCCAGGAGAGTAAGGGTAGAGCCCCTTCTCTCACTGCTGCTTTGCATTTAACTGCCCTAATCTCACCGCCAGGCCCATGCAGTGGGGACAGCAGTGCCTGTGGCCCCGTCAGGGGCCGCACGTTCACTCCTTTGGCTGTCACATGGATCCTCAGAGCACACTGGCACAGAGCTGGACCCTGCAGGAGGATGTCACAGCCCCCAACATGGCAAGTGCAGCCTCTCTGCATACTCATCGATTCCTTGCCTGTGTCCTGGGGAAACACCTCTCCAGGTGGAGAAAAGGACTTCGTAGGGAAACATTTTAATTTTTTCCATTCTTTGGAGGACACTGCTGAGCAGGTAGCCTTCACCTACAGCTCTCCCTTTTACCATAAAGGGCTCACACCCCTGTTCGCATCCATCCAGAGACTCATCTCTCTGCCAGGTGCCTTCTCAAGCCTCTCCACACTCCCTGCTCCAGATGTCATGACCTGGCACAAACCTTGACTCGCGCTAAAGCACACTTAGCTGATGCTCAGCAACCAGGCTCGGTGCCCCTGGGTGTCCCAGCACAGTGAGTCACCCCTGATCTTCTGAAGGCCTCTTTTATGGTCCAGTGGGTCTGGCTGGTTATCAGCTCACAGTAGGCAGCGTTTGTTGCAGTGCCTGGGATGCTGCATGGTACATTCACACAGAAATGAGAGCACTCTCACAGCACTCTTCCCACAGCCTCCCTTCCTCACGTAAATGTCCCTCTCAAAAACCACGGCAGGAAGAAAGGACTTCAAAAAGAGAAGGGTCTTGTGCTGAATTAGTTTGAAATGGACCTGTTGTGTGCACACAGGATAATTTCTTTGGCTATACCCCAAATGGGGAGTTTCACTGTGACTTTTGACACCTTCCAGCAAGGTCTCAAAGTCCGATGAAGTGGTGGCATGAAAAGCCGTGGAAAGTTGAGCTCCAAGAACAAAGGCTGCCTTTCAAGCCCTCGTTGCTTCTCCTTGGTACACAGCTGCTTTGAGTAAGAAAACTCCACAGGAATGATGAAATTCGAGGATCTCTTGCGTGAAACTGGGGGCTTTGGCAGATTCCAGATTTTGATT